AAAAAAAAAAAAAAAAAAAAAAAAAAAAAAAACGAATCGCAAGCACGGTCGACGATCCGACACGCAACACGGTTTACTTTGAAAATGAACCCTGCCATTTAGTTGCACCTCTCTTCTGCCTCCATCTCGAAAGTCGGGAACGCTCACGTAAAAAGCAAAACGCGCGGCAGAGACACGACTGCCTTGAAAGCCGGAGTCGGAGGCAAGGCGAATGTTGTTCACGAGGCGGTAATTATTTAGATAGAGGAGAGCACAAGTCGCGTATACCGTGCTACGCTACAGGCATCTCTAGCCGAGATTGCGTTTCAAGACGGTAAATCTTGTGTACACACCTGCGGGTACGCGTGTGTGTCGTCTTGCACGCTCGGCAAACACACGTAGACCGCGGAGAGCATGCCGTTCCATTCCGGCGCAATGACTCCCGTCTCATTAATATTTATCGCGCTTCACGTTCGAGACAGAAGTAACCACGGTGTCGCGTGGCCGTTGACAAACGACGAAAAAAGAGGGAACGCGTGTTTCGTCGATGATCATCTGCGGATTGCGTGCGTGCGCAGAGATAAAGATACAAGTTACGTGTAGAAATGAGCACACGACCTTAAAGGTTTTGAAATTGTCACACGATCGAAAGGGAAATTAGATATACCGGATACTCGACCCCTTTTACGTTCGATAAAGATATTGCTTGCACTTGTGATGCTGTGCGTCATCGAATTATTATTTGCAGTCGGTCTTGATCTTCACGCGAATTCACATTTTCGAGAATATAATTGGAAAACAGAACCACGACGGGGAATTGTTTTAGACACCGAACATCTTTGCAATTTCAAAATTCCATGCACAAGCATAAAAATCCGTACTCGAGTCCATCTCTTGAAATATGCTGTATTCCTTTATCAATTTTGTTTGTTCGTTGTTATTAATAAAATTAAAATTAAATCACAATTGTTATTTAAAGCTGAATTTCCTTTCTTGAACCTGGTATCAAAACTAACGTCATTAACTAAAACAATTAAGACGATGATGTAATACGAGTTGTATTTCGATTTCGAACAGAAGACGACAATAACAAATTCCAGAGGATGCATAAAGGATTAAAGACGATCAAAAGACCACGAAGTAAAGTTGGCGGCTTGGCGGTGGTTCGCTACACGGTCTAGAGATGGCAGAAGCGAAGATCTTGCGGCAACCACAATAATTTGAATTTATGATAGCATTATTGCAGTTGTTTCCTCAACAAGCACGTACTACCCACCGAAAGGATTTACCAAGTGTTCATATCGTTACATGAACTGGATTCCGCGGGAGCTGTAACGCGTTACATCGGCGAAAAACTTCAGTCGAACACACACTCTGCATTCGTGATGATCGTATAACCTTCCCGCCGCGGCCCGTTTTAATAAACCATCTTCCTAAATCCTATCATGGTTACGCGAGCCGCACGCTCATGAATACCGAAAACTCTAACGGGAACGGAACGTTCGTCGCTTTCGACAAAAAGAAACTAGTCTAGCCGTTTCGTCTATTTTTCCAGAAATACACTGCACTCCTTTTTCTCTCTATTTTCGCCTCCTCTGCTATTTCATTCCGTCGTGTATACACGGCGGTGTACCGAAAATCGTGCTGGATGATTCTGCATGTAAAATGTAAGTCGAAAAAGAGAAGCTAGTTAGATAATCTGCAAGATGTTGTTCAATATAAAAGAACAAGCTACGTACAAGCGAAAAAAGACACACAATTTTTCTGCTTAACACTTAGCTTTCGAGAAAACACAATTTCAGTCTGTCTAGTTGAAAACTTTCAAATTTAATTCTTTTCGGAAACGAAACGTCTTATAAGAATATTCATCCTACGTTTTTGACTTATTTGAACTTGTAAAATGTCAATTATTTATTCAGTAAATTTTCACACTTCTTTCTTTTTTGCACGAGAAAGTAGCAGCAACGATTTTCTGTACTCTTTATACCACGCTTTTATACCTTTCCGATACATACTGTTCGTTGCACGGTGAACTTCGCATTCGTTAAACCGGGGTATCAAAACGCGCGCGACGAATGCTAAAAACTGCGAGCACGAGGGAAACGTCGAAATTTGACTGGGGGGATTTAAGATACGCTCGATTTATCCTCGGTGCCTTCCTTCCGGCTTATTAACTCCTCGGAATCCTCCGTAGCCAATGAACGATGTAACCATCCTTCTTTGCTACAGACACAACTCCAGTTCTCGGGTTCTCGTCGGGACATTGATATTCGATGGACGCGCTTGCGATCGGGGGAACGCTTTTTCTCCAACTCACGGATAGAAGAGATGCAACCAGCAGGGGCAAAAAGAAAAACACGCGAAAGAACGGGAAGAAAGAAATCCAGGGGAATGATCATAGTCGATTGATTCGCCATGCTGTCTCCTCCGGCGAGGGTAGAGAACGGTTTCGAGATCGATTCAGAGATAAATATTAAGAGGATCGATATTAATACGCTACAAATGTGAACTATTAATCGATTTAGATATCTTGAAATAAATATGTAACAAATGGAAGAGAGTGATTGATAAGATTTTTAAATTTTGATATCCGATACAATATATTATAATGTATTGTTTATATATAAACCTATCAAAAGTGATCATCTTTATTTTTTTTAATGTTTTAACTTCATTATGCAAGTATGATTCCAACATTAAATTTCAAAGAGTAAATTACTTATTTTTTCGCCAATTTATTTATCACAAGATCAAAGAATAATGTGACTTTAGGAAATATTGTTTGCAATTTTCAGTAAATGAAGATGATCACTTTCATTTCTTAACGTGTGACAATCAAGTTAAGTAATAGCATTTTGAAATGTTTAAAAATAAGAAAGAGAAAAGTAGGTTGCAGATATTTACATAAATTCATATTTTTCTAAATATAATTCAACAAATCTAACCTATAAGAAATTGTTTTTTTTTTCTTTATTGAATATCACAACTAGTATTATTTTTTTCTACAATTTCAGATTCTCCGTAAATGCATGAGAATTCTCGGCTCAGTGATAAATATCAAATAAAAACGAGTAACATGTAACAAATGTATATAATATAGAATAAAATATGTAAATGTATTCAACTCACGTACAAATGAAATAAAATAATAATGTCAATAAAGTATTGTTCAATTTAAATCGTTTCAAAATGGCCGCCAACGTTTACAATATGGCAGTCGCGCAGTTCGCGCAGGCGCAAACGTGTAATATCGAAACGTCAAAAATAACATTAAATAACCATCAGCTGCACTCATCTTATAAGAAAGTTACACGATTGCACGACGTAAAATAACTATCAGCTACACTCGTCTCAAAAAAGAAAAAAAAAAAAGGGAAACATCAATGGTTACACGAATTCTGACGAAAGTACATACGCGCGACTTAAATGCAAGCTACTTCACGCCTCGCGTGTGTCAAATGCAAACTGCATTTCGTCGCGTCCCGGCACTCGAACGGTTTAACGTCAATATTGGCGCAATGAATTACTTACATGTGCCTGCAGAACTTCTCCTCCGTCCGACAAACGCAATAAACTGCTCCCGGTGTGCCGATGATGTCCAATTCACAAGAACGCACGAGACACTCACACGCGATTTAAGAATCGTACGCGATTATACATATGCTTCGGTTAGTAAGGATGTTACTAAATGTATGGAAACACGAGCGAAAGGACTGTTGGTCTCGAATTACGACGAAACACACTCGACCTCGAATCGAGGAACAACAACACTCGGCTCCAAAACAGACGCTGACCTAACGTGGAGGGGGAAGACGAACTACGCAACGCAATACGACACTCGTATGCTTTCCACTTTTATACGCTTAATTACGCGATACGACGATTAATACAACGATCTGATCAACTATCAGTGTCACTGACGGTACAATGGACCCGCGTGGCGAACAGTCGCGGAAAAATTCGAGCAAAAACACGCAAATTGAGCTGTTTCACTGGCGCGCGATCCTGTACCACGCGTTACGTGCCGGCTTTCGCGGTTGAATGACACGATTGCCAACTTATGAGACGAGGCGTGACGAGCGTCCTCCAGTGGCGCGCAATTATGAATGGAAATAACTAGCGCGCAAATTATAAACATTCTTAAATTCGTTCTCCGGAATAATTTACTCGTCCGTTTCGCGATTTTTTTGTAGAAACGGTGTATGAATTGACTTGTTTTATTGCTTTATAGTGAATTAGATATATATTTTATTTTATTTACATATAATATATACTACTGTTTATAAATCATCGGATACTTGATAAAATTAAAATGTTGTTGCAATTTATGTTGGAAATGATGCTATTTGTGATATCATAATGCTAACTTTATTATTGTTTTTAAATAATTTATATTATTTTTCAAAGTATGTCTTGAACTTGTATAAATTAAATTATTAATGTGCATAGTGCGTGACTATATACAACGTTTAAGTATTGTTCTCGTTTAAAAATCTTTTCTCAATTTTTACTAAACGATTCCTTATAACCGTCACAATTCGATCTAATTCTTATAACATATTTTAATACATTTAAACATATTTTATACACATATTAACTTCGCGTCCATTATATTGGATAAATGGCTCCAATAAAATAAAATCAAACAACAAAAATCGCACAACAGAATTACATTAATGTCGCAGTAATCATTTTGTTCAAAATACCGTGACAAACATTTTATAAAATATTATACTATCAAGTAACAACGTGAACCTCTCCGTAATAAAATAAACACACAAATCCCCTAAAATTACGACTCCGCTCACGTTTTATCCAATTTCTGCGCCGCGGGACGATCGTAATGCAAGATCGCTAATTCAATCCCTCGTGAAATTACCGACGATATACAATTCGTTTGGCAAACAAAGGAAATGGATTCGAGCGGAATGGGAAATATAAGGAAAATTAACGAGAAACAGTACGGTCTCCTACAATCAAAGAAAGAGAAACAGGGGGATTCGATACATCCTGCGAGAAACCTGGCGGATTAATAATACGCGAGACCGTATGAATGAAAATCAAAAGCACTGCACGACGACGTCACGACGTCACGACTGACGTACACCATCCCGTGCAAGGATTGATTAATTCGCACCAACCGCTCCTCTCTCTCCCTCTCTCTCTCTCTCTCTCTCTCTCTCTTGCGCCGGGGTTGTGGATTGGTTTCGATGAATGCAACCTTAGATTAAGAGCATCGCAGCCGTCGCAAGATACCGTCGCGCGTATAATCGCGGAAACGATGACTACGGGAGCTGCATCGGAGGGGAAGGGAGTGTGTGTGTGAGAGTTTGACAGGGATGGAGGATATATCCGTGGAGTTATGGCCGGTATGAAACCCATAGCAAATGATGCAGGGATACGTGACTGGCGAGCAAAACGTACAGGCCGGCTCGCCACCTCGCCAACCCCTTTGGCATGGCTGCAATCAGCAACGTGCGCCGACCAACTCCGAAATAAATTCAATAGAAACGGTTGCGCAACGTATACACGCGGCCGTACGTGGCGACGATAGCTGCCTCGCAGTAGCGTCGTCGTCGTCGTGCCACTGCGAATTTTTCCACGACAGGGATACGCGGTGAGTTTACCTCCGGCCCCGCTTCTCCGGCTGGCTTGGATATCTCGATTTTCCACGTAAGGGGATGTTTAGATTGTTGGAAAGCTCGCAGCTTCAACCTTGGCGCCGCACAACGGACTCGCCGAGTCGAAACCGTATTTCTTTGATCGGGAATAACACGCTGCACGGCGACGGGAAACGAGAACTCGCTTCCCCTCTCTATCTCTTGATTCGCGAGACCTTGGACCGCCGATAGGAACGTTCCATCGGCTTATCACCGATATTCTCCGAGAGCTTCCGCGCGCGGCATCGCGATATCTCGATCGCGTCTAACCGTGTTTCAACGATCGAAATAGAAGTTACCTCGGCGCGATGATTGAGAGAAAAATACGACCGGCGGCGTAGGTTTCATCCGCTGTTACGCTGTATCCTACGTACACTACCCTTGGCGAATGGTTCCCGATCGAACGCACCGTGTTCGAAGCCATTCGAAAACATTGGAATCTTTCCTGCTCGAATTGAAATCGCTAATTTCATTCTCCCGCGTATTTCAAACGAATAGCGCTACCTTTGACGGAAAGTTCGCTCGGATCGAGGGCCGGGTATTCAGGAGCATTCGAAAACATTGAGATCGAAACTCGTGTTCGCGAATCGAATTCAAATGGCTAATTTCATTTTCACCATCCGCGTATATTTCGAACGAATACAGCGGCACGAAAACGTCTCGAACGTTTTCGACGAACTTTCGTATACTATTTCGCGCACGATCGAGAACTTTCATGATCGAGTAGTAAAAGCACAGGGGACAAACAACGCCCGCGGTGAAACTCCCGGGCTGATGAATGCTGATATATTCAATCAAGGATATTGACGTGATCCGGCGAGGTGCCGTTCGAGGATCGAGGGAGGATGTTGCGAAGTACGTGGAAGCACGGCATCCGGGCCAGCCTGATGAATAGTTGGCCGCACGGAACGTTATGACGAACATACTCGCTCGTCCCGTAGAAACGATACACAATCAGAATTCCGGGCCTGTCGGCGGCGAGGCCACGTGACGGCATGTTCTCCATTAAATTCCACGACGATAGAAGCCGACATGAGCGGTGTCGGTGCCGGAGAGGTCCATAGAGACCAGACACTTGAATCCCGCGGCACGGTTGTCACAATAAAAGGGAGCAACAGCAACTGATGAGGCACTTTAGGACGTCGTCTACCACCCTTTGATACTGGCACCGGCTATTTCTATGTTAATCTCGTCGCCACGCGAACGCTTCACCCTTTGCTTCCAACAGATTTCAGGCACCGAACGGCACCGCTGCAACACCGTCGGAATCGATGCTGTTCCTGCTAGGAATCCCCTGTAAATGAATTCGAGGGTCTAAATTTCAAACGGTCGGACAATTTCAGGCACGGACGTGCAAGCTGTTGAATTCCTTCGTCGACGGCGTGACTTTTCCCCGGGGTTACGCAACGCAACGTCGACGACACTTCAAGGTTTTCACCGGTGTAGAAAATTATGTAACAGCTCGGAGGAAACAGCGAGGAAAATCCTCAGAGAGAGAGGAGAAGAAAAAAAAAAGGATGGAAGAAACCAAAGCGACGTCACCGAAACAAGAAGGTGGCAGGGCGAAGTGACATCCCGAAGCTTCTCCCGAAATAAATCGCGCGACGTTTAAAACTACGGTTGCAAGAGGGAGAGAGAGAGAAGGGAGAAAAGGAGGACGCGAGACACGGCTAGACGAGAAGAACAAAAGGAAGAAAGAGAGCCGGGGGAGGAAAACGGCGAGCCAGATTTTCAGCCGGACCCTGCGATATTAAATATTTCAGACGTCCGTTGTCCCTCGCTTCCCTCCTCCTTTTTCCCTTTCTCACGAACGCCGCCTTCCTCGTGCTCTCGTTTCGCTGCTTCGTCCCGGGGCGTTCGCGCCCGAAGGCACTAAAAGGAAATTTTATAACCCAAACATTTCGCTCGGACGGGCAAGTGGCCGCGAAACGAAAAGCGTAGTCACGGCTGGAGGATGGCTGGAAAACGAAAACATTTCGACGACGACGACGACGACGACGACGACGACGACGACGACGCTTGGTCCGTGGGAAAGGAGCGTAAGAGCGTAAGAAAGGGATCCCCGGGCCACGACGTCCGTTGAAAATCCTTTTTATGGAGTCGCCGTCGGATGAACGAGGCGTCTTGGGTGTTCGTAAACAAAAATCACCACCACTGGCTGTTCCTTCCGTGGACGTGGTAATCTGAAATTATGTCACGGCTTGCAGCGTGCACGGCTGTCGCCTCAGATAAGAAAGTTGAAGACGTCAGGGGGTAGACGTAGTGTGAGGCGAAGGGGAACGAGGTGGAAGCCGATGGAAGGAGTCGACACTCGTGATTAGTGTTCCTCGAGCGAAATGGTGGCGGTACATCAACCGCGTCGAGAGAATAGAGTGTTGAATAAATGATAACGCTACGTAGCCGCGAGAGAATTTCTTCTCCTCGCTGGGGAGAATCCTCGTCCTCTTCTTTTCTGTTTGTCACGCTACGTCGCGCCGAGGGCCGAGGCGTCGACGACTCTCGAACGTAACTCGTCGTTTACCTTTAACCGAGAGATTTTCAACCTGTCGCGACGTGGCAACTTCTCATTCTTCGCTCGGCGAAATCCGCGTCACGCCTCGCGCAGGTACGCGAGCCAGATTAGATAACGGCAAATCAGAAAGGGGAGAGAAAGGCTGCTGGGTAAATTCGAGAGAATTCAGGAGAGGTGGGGAACACCTACCGAGAGCGTCGCGTCGATAAATTCTGCCACGACGACGAAATATTACGAGCATATTTTCAGCGTTGTAGCAAAGGTCACCGAAACGTAACACGCCAGGAATCGGCAAGCAGCAGCGCTGGTGTGGCCCTTTGTAAAAGTGCGGTCGGTCCATCGGGTCTCTCGATTTTCCCGAGGAATAAAGGCATACTTCATACGTCTTTACGCCGGCGTAACCACGCAGAAAGCGAATCCATCGTGAGAAACCGTTCGAGCGAATTCTTCGTTCGTCCCCTCGGGTCCGTATCTCCGATA